TCCCTACTGCATGACCCCATGCACCAAAGCCATAACTCTCATTTCAAGCTGGCTGTCTGCATTTCACACATAAAGCATAAAACTGCCTTGAGACATGAACTTAGCAGCAGAGGATCATGAAACTTGTCCGGCCTGTCTTCAGCTTTCATGTTGGACTTTAGCATTTCTTCTGAAAAACTCAGGCAGATCCTGTATTCGGAACAGTCCTCTAGTGGCTGATGAATACATGCTGGTCATTTGGAGCCCACTGCTGTCTTCATGGATGTTGGATGTGACTGAAATTCATTTACCTGTCTTTCTACTTCACTGGTCTGCAATGTCTAATGCTGGAAGTTGAATCAACACCACAAATTGGAATCGGAACTTCTGATTTAGCTATAGACTCCTCTCACTTTTATGCTTTCATTTAGCACTTCTGGAGCCTTAGACAACCAAGCCAGAACAGCTATGAAGTTCTCCCGTCCTCAAAAAATAACAGTGTGGAAAAGATAAGAAACATTTTCCGCCTGCAATTCCCCTTTCCAACATGCCTTACTTGCTTCTTCATCCCTAGTCCCTCACCCCCACTGACGCTAGCCCTGGGCTGAGGCTACGGTTAGAGAGGTTATCTCAGTGATCCAAGGAGACTAGTCATGATGATTTAACTTTGCAGCGGAGTCATCAAATAATTGAACTGAAACTCACTGACACATTTCACAAATGACCTCAGCTTTCAGTCACTGCTGATCTTGGCAGGAAGCTGGAGTTCTGTATTAACCATGCCCTGTCCAAAACAGTAAGCAACAAGTTAGCTATCCAAAACAAGATCTGAATATAAGAGGACTGCACAAGCTGCTTATCAGCTGGTTAGTCAAAAGTAAGGACAGCCAAAAGCACCTGTTGAACTGCTCAACTCTCAGAGCAGCTCTGTATAAGCTTGCTGCCATTCCATTGGAAATCCTGTGGTAAGGAATGCAGAACTTAAGCACACGAGAAATACTAGCGTTAGAAATGTAGGCACTTAAAGAATTTGGATGTCTTCAGGTTTTAGCAGATTAAATGGAGGAGTTGGAGGCTCAGCATGTTGTGTATCAGATTTAGGTGTCTGTAATGGCAGAGACCATCATCTAATCATCTAAAACCTAGTAACATGTTCTGTGAAACTGAACTACTGCCCCTGAAATTCTGATATATGCTTGCCCAGGCAGCTAAAACAGATTTAATATGGAACTATTTTACTATTAGCTTGTTTTCTGTCAATATTTCATGTTACTTTCTTGTTGCTCTTGGTTTGCCAGTGATTTAAAATAATAAGTTGTCAGAACTTGATTTTGACCCCTAAATGCTCAAAGATACTAAGCCCAGATTTCAAAAAAGAATGAAAAGATTAGAAGCAGCTGCTGCAGATACCTCTTGTATGTGTGTTCAAACATGCTTAAATTCTTTCCTATGTGAGAATTACAGGAATCGAGATGGATTTCTGACACATCAGCACATTTATGCCTCTTGCTGCTTATCAGTTGCCGCTGGGACGCAGGCTTCAACCACTTTAACAAAGGTTTGGAATCCTTCACAAGGTGGCTTCAGCACCCTGAAAGCCTCCTCTAAGTAGTCAGCTGCTATTTTCAGGCTTTCCTTTATGGATCTGTGTCCTCGAAGGATCGCCTGTAGCAAAACAAGAAGTGAAGAGGAGGAGGGTAGAGAGCGAAGCCTGAGCTGTTGTGAAATTCCACTCGAGGAGGAGCTGCCTTCTGTGGTACTTGGTGTCTCATTTTGTTGCAGCATCTTCACAATATCAGCATAGTCCATAAGAAGTTCTGATACTTGGAGGGATAAGGCAGGTGAACTCAATAACTGATGAATAGCAGACTCTACCATGTCAGGGAAATTGTCATGTTTCAACATCACTGCAATGAGTACACCCATGATGCTTTCTACAACCCCCTTGTAATTCTCGTAAAGTTCCTTTACTGCAGCGATCTTGTCCTGCAAGGAGGTGATGGGACCAGCAATCTTAGCATACAAACTGTGGCTGATGCTTTCCTGTACATCTTTGTCTTTTGTTTCCATGGTGGCTTGCATCTCTTTCAAAGCACTGACCAGGAGCTGCAGATTCTCTTTAATGCTGAAGTTTTCTTTTACTGATACGATGGGGAAGTTGGTGCCAAGATGCTGATTGAGGAGTCGGAATATTGTGTTGGTTGAAGAGACATAGATGTACACTAAGTCATGCAGATTCTGGCAGGCCCTGACCAGCCTTTCTTTATCACTCTTAAAACCAAGGCGAGCTAACATTTCTGGAGTGGTGTCTGACTCTGAAAAGCAAACAGAGGAAATCCAGAAGACACAGGGGAATAAAACTGGATATATTTTCAGCTAGAATGTTACATATCTGAAACCAATATTACAAATTATCAGCCCACCTGACCCGCCCTTCCCCAAGACATTACAGTTAGAAGAAAACACAGAAAAAGCTCTTTGTGAGCCTTTGCAGGAGTCTTACAAGCAGGCCAGCAAAATATGGTGTAAACAGCTGCAAGTATCCTTACTCTTATGGCTGCAGGAAGTATGACTCTGACCTTCAGCATGCAATCTGAAAAGCAATGGAAGTGTTGTAAGTGATTTATTCTTGCCTTTTGGTGTCTATTGGTAAATTTATGGGAGTCCTAGCAAACAATCTACTTTACATCATCCTTAGAATGATATTCCTTCAGTTTGTATATACTGGTGGGTCTACACAGAATTAAACTCATATTCTGGGGAGGGGGGAATAGACACAGCAAAGTCAAATGTATCAGACATCTACATTCAAGAGGCAAAGCAATTGAAGTCTGAGTAATGCAATGTTTTGTCAGGCTACAATTTCCTGTGAAGTGACCCGTATCTGTCAGTTCATGCAGCGGCTAGATGCTGCAAGCACCCCTTGATAGGTGGAAGCACAAAACTTACTTGGTCTCCCGTCTTGCTACCATTTTGACTATTAAGGAAGTTATGTCCTGCTTGCACCTAGGAGTTCTCCCAAGGCCAACTGCAGGCACAGCCCTGGGACAGCACACGGCTGAGGGACTGCTCCTGATTTTGCCTTTGCTTGTGCCAGAGCCCTGGAAAGCCAAACTGGTTGCAGCAGACATGTTTCATCAGCTATTGCTGTGGTTAGATGTGCAGTTAGATGGGTCCAAACAGTTGCAACTTCCCATCCCACTGCATACGTTTCAAGACTTTTCTCTCACTGCTCAGCTCAACCCTCTGCCTCTTCCTCCTTTCCCTTTCCATGGCAAAAGTGATCTGAAATTGTGGGAAATGGCAAAATTGATTTTAGCCTCCACTGCTGTTCAGCCAGAGCTGGCTCTGGAGCTCCACACCACTTCTTCCACTCTCACAGCATCAGAGGAGAGGATCTGGGAAATTGCAGCAAAGAAGGGTGACAGACACTCCAGATGAAGTCCTTCCCCCAAACTTAATAGGCGTGAAACAATAGCTATTAATCTTCCCTAAAGACCTGGAGTAAAGCAGGAACAAAACTGCTTGCTTATTGTTTAAATGATTTTCTGTCATGTTCCAAACGATAGAGTAGGGACTCTAGAAGAGAAGAATTTGCATCCACTGTAAATCTTGAGGATCTGAAAGCAGCTTCCAGACTACAGAATGTGACACAAAGGCAGTTGCCAGCCTGATGAATTCAATTCAGTCCAATATTGGAAGAAGTATTTCAGGACTACATGGCATTCTCAGTTAATAACAGGAGTCACAACTAATTGACCATTGCAGAAATGTAATAGTTAAATCATTAATGTTCTCTCTCAGCTCATCTTCTCAGGCCTACAGCTCTGAAAACAAGGGGAGTTTGGTACTCTCGCTCTGGGTTGAATAAAATACCTCAGCTTTCGGAGGAAAACAAGCCGGCAATTGCAGAGTACTCATTTTATGCTTGATCTTTTACTGTCATCTGAGAAATCAACCATTCTCTACTGGGGAGGCAACATTCACGACCAGAGTCTAGTGGGCAGCAGATCCATCTTTCTAAGGATCAGAGCATGGAAGATGTCTAGCTTGGATGAAGGCTAGACTTCAAGCTTGACTTGCTGGGACAGACAAAGCCTGTTTTCACTGTCTGTGGTATCTATTTTTCTATTTGTGTGGGACTGTTCAACTTTTCTTCCATAATTCATAGGTGTACAAAATGAGTCACGGCCACAATTCATTATTTCAAGGAATAGCTGCAAGCATTAGTGTTTATATTTATAAACAATAGAAATTTATAAATCCCAGTACAAAACCTAATCCTGTATCTGTATGAATGAAAAGCGCTGTCCTACATGTTTTATGTTCTGAGAACAGCAAGTAATACCATCCCCCTTCAGCCATGGCTGTAGGTACCTTTGCCATAGGCAGAGGGATTCATGCTGTACCTATTCTCTCCAGGAACAGAAGGCCTTTGGAGGACCTAAAAATTGGGAACTAGCATGAAATAAACTGAAATGTGTTAAAATTGGAAGGAAGAGGAAAGGAGGAAGAAAATGAAACGAATCTGGATAAACATCACACAATAGAATTAATGATAAGCAGGCAGGCAACAGGACCCAGATGAAGCCCAGGCTCTGGATCCCTAACTCATCACATGCTGCTGGAAACCACCAGAGGAACACAGGGAAAAGAGGATGAACTCACTGTCTCATACACATTCAACTGACTGCAGGAGCACTCAGACAAAATCAGGTAGGCGGTCTAAATGTTTAATTAGAAAAGCTTCTGGAGAAAATCTCCCTGGAGCTGGAGAAATAGTCAGAAATATGGAAATATATGTGGCCTGCCTAACTCTAGAAAACAAATGTAAAAACTAGCAAAAGTGTTAATGTGAAGAGTAAGCGGTAATTTTAGCATTAAGACACAAAATCTAGAGCAGTGATCGGAAGCTGAAATAATCATGCATAAAGAATAGATGCTAAAAGTCTCCTCCACACCTGTCTAGTACGTAAAATGTTTGTTGAAATGCTATTCCTCTTAGAACATTTTGTCTTCTCAGTTTCTACAAATAAGGATAAACAAATGACCTTTCAACAAAACGTCACTGGAGTGGAAAGGATCTAATATCACACTGAGTCAGAGAGCAAGCCAGCAACATCACTGAGGCAGGACTGATATGAATTCATACCTTGTATTGACATGGCTTTATGTCTCCTGAAAATCACAAACCTTTACTGTATATGTACTTTGCTCCCTCCAGCTTGAAGAAAAAGAAAGATGTGTTAAAAAGTTTATTCTCTTGGAGCTACAAGGTAAGTGGTTGGAAGAAATGTATAGTACTGTGCAAAATATTGTGGGAAAAAATCTCTTCAGACTGGCTTGTATTTCAACACTGAGACTAAAAGTTGGCTAGGGCACTGTTGAAATCATTCTGTTTTTCTACGGTGATCTTGTGGGGGAGGATGTGTTTAGTAAAATACAGCTGGGTCAGTGTCAGATGATTTGCAGTTAGCAGATAATGCAAGAACTACAAAGGACCAAAATGACACAAAGGTGTCTTTTTAAGAAGAAAAATCTAGCTAGTCCCCTACACATAACTATTTGTAGCTACAACTGTGCTATATAGGCACCAACAGAAAGAAGGGGTTTATCTTGGAAAAATGCGAAGCGCTGCACAGAAGTGGCCCAGATTTGACATAAGAGGGCCGAGAATGCCAAAGTACCAACAAAGAAACGAGTCATCCATTCATAGTTTGCCCCTGTTGCAAAGCATTTAAGTCAAAATCATGCTAAAGCATTTTTACTTTGCAGCTGGTGATGGGTTAAAGGGAAGTGGCACAGAGTTGATTACAGCAGCTTAGTGATGAGGAGTAACTCCATGATCACTGGTAACTCAGTATTATAGGACAACTTTGGACTCTGTATATTGACATGCAGGTAATGAAGAAAAATATATTAAAGATACCCTTTTGCTGGCAAACCAGCGACAGCTCAGAGAAGAACGGTGACCGTAACGATTAGACACAAGTGTTTGGGGTGGGAGGAGTCAAAGTAGTTAAATTTTGTGCTCTGATCTGTACAGGATCAGATAAGGAGGGCCAGATTCTGCTCAGTCATGTCCTAGGAGCTTAATGAGCACCTGTTGGTGTTAGCTCCACACAGGACACACTGGGTATGGAGGGAGCGTGGCTGCGTGAGCGGGGCTGTCCCTGCAAGCTGGTGCGTGCTGCTCCAAGGCAGTCTGCCATCACAGACATCCTGCTGGAGTAGGTGCACCTCGTGGTGCTTACGCAGCATGCTGAACATCACGGGGCTGTCTGCAGCTGTTTGATGTTCACGAGGGAAAAAACAATGGGGAATTGATTACAGCATTAGGGAGGTGAATAAACAATGAGGGAGCAGGGGCTAAATATCAGGGAAGAAAACAGTGGGAGATGTGTGTAAGGTGATATAGGTTAGGATGGGTTTATTATAGATAATTTTACCATTCTCTATGAATTCCCAAGTGTGAGTTTATTAGTATAAACACAGAGTGCTTATATAGTAACATTTTCTCTTGAATGTGAGTAGAAATAAGCTACACTAGCATAAAACACTCATATGGTGATACAGACTGTGCCCACTCCAACAGTCATCATAGTTGTTTAAAAATCAGATGCTACTAACTGAAAAAAATAAGCTGATACACAAGTGTGTCTAGAACAGGCCTTTCACTTCCACAGCTTATTTTAGATTTTGCTGATTAGATGAGATTGTTGCATTTTTTTAGTGAACTAGTTCAGCTTCTACCATCTTCGGGTTCCAAGGTGAAGAATGACCCATGTTCGTTTTACCAATCTTCTAATTATGTATTTGTTAGCTATTTTTGTTGCCCTGAATATGCTCAATGTCTTATAAGGTCCTTTTCCAATCATTTGGCTAAAGATCCCAAACAAGAATTAAAATTTCTATATTTACGAGCTATGGCTTTGACTTGCTGAGTATAAAAAGAACCAATAAGGCAGAGACAAAGGACATTTCACTGCTCTTTAAGGGCTAGGGTTCTGCGTGTTGAAAAGAGTAAGAGATTTCTTTTCTCTCTTGAAGTAGCCTATTTCTGAAGAATGGCACTGAGTGACCTCCTTTACCCAGATAACCCCAAGAGAAGGCAAGAATTGATCCATCTGCACCAGGAATTGCTCGACTGCATGTCCACAAATTTCCGTGCAACAAATGAGCTGGCTGGGGTGCTGAATGAACACCTGGGCTGTACCATTACCCACATTCAGATGAGAGAGAGCAGCACTGTCAAGGAAAACTGTGACATTATCATTCAAGCGATGAGTGAGATTCAGCATCAGGTACAGAAGATTGATAGTGACTTGAAGGAAAAGCTAGAGCCTGTGCTGTACCAGAAACTGTATGACATCAAAGAGCCTGAGTTGGAGAAAATTGCAATAGCCCATAAAGTTTTTTCCATTGTTCTTGGAGAAGTGACTTCAACAGCTGGGATGGTAGCTATCAAACTTCTTGGCTCCAATCTTATAACTCTCACTGTGAGCAAGCTCGTCAGTCTCCTTGCGCAGATTGGGGCATCTGTTCTTGGGGGAATCAGCATCACCATTCTTGGGCTCGGCATTGAAATGATCCTCCACGCCATCCTGGGAGCCATGGAGAGGAATCAGCTTCTGGCAGCTGTGAGAAGCTACGAGAAGCACCTGGCTGAGTTTAAAGCAGCCTCAGAAAAGTACCAGCGTGCCATACGTGAAGTGACTTCTTCGGTGAGACAGCAGGTTCAGTGAATGAAGTCGGAGTTCTCTCTCCTGCTGTGACAGCGGCTGCAGCAGCTATGTCTGCAGAAACCTTTTTGATTCATTGTGGTAAATGAACTGCCCATGGCTTTTTTTCTTACTAGTGGCAGCAGAGCAAGAGATGTGACGCATCACTGAAATATATTGATAAGGAACTGGCTTATAGGTGTCTCTGGGAGGCAACGCTTCAAATACTTTGCACCTTTCCTTCAGCTATTTTCTGGAATGCATTGTAGATAACCTTGAACTGTAATTCATACTAGTCACAATAATATTCACTGCTGGAGTAGTAGCAGTGAGAAAGTATGATTTTTCTCTTACTGTGTTTCTATACCAAAGATGACAACATGATGGGAGAAAACAATTTCAACAAGCCAGTCCATGCCATTCTCTGGAGGCCTCCTCAGGACAGCTGTGGTTGCTAAACTCTGAGTGTGGATTAGTGCTAAATCCGATAGGCTGAATTCCCTGTTCATTGAACTGCTTACAAGAACTAGCTGAAGCATATTTAACTGCTATTTCCTGCCCCATCCCTGCCTAAGGACCCAGCCAGAGATCTTCTTTAAATAAACTCTAGTCCCAGTAGATTAGCAGATAAGAGCAGCATGGGCTTGCAGGCAAACACACACAACCTTGCTCCACAACTGAGAGAAACCGGCTGTAGTATTCCAGGCGTGCCTGGCTGTGAATAACCTCTTATGCTCAGCAAGGCCCGCTCCTGCCAACCCACAGGTAAATATTTCTGTGCACAGTTGCTGCTCTGTTGATTGAAATGGGATTATACACACGTACAAGTGTCTGTAGGATTACAGCCTTTTAATGCACTAAATTTATTTTCATGTGCTTTACCCAGTCCCACAAATGCACTGCCAAGAGCGCGCTCAGATTCTGCATTTCACAATATGCTACCAAACGTCCTTATTTTTCAGGTTTTAAAAACAAAGCTGGAAGCAAGAACATGATTTGCAGTCTCTTGCTCTGATTTGCTGTGGTTTGCTTTTTTTGCTTTGATCTTTGGGGGGAAAAAAAAAGGTAATCTAAGAATTAATAAAAATGTACCTGAATATTGTAAGACCTCTCTTTCCTGTACTTGGATTGTTTCTTTTGTTCCGTCTGAAAAACCAATCTTAAACCAAATAATGAAAAAAGATTAAAATCCTCATTATAGGTGCAATTTATAAATTCTTTTTTATATCCATGATAGAGTAATCTAGTAGGATTGTGTATAGGTTCCTTTTTTAGTACCAGCTTCCTCCCATCCTAAAAGCATATTCGAATTCATACTTGTTTATTAATACTCAATATTAGCAATATTAGATTATTACAGTAATAACTAGATCATGCCTGTGAAAGTAAAGAGATGGGTGAGATTACAACAGGTAAGCTCTCTGTTGGCTTCACAACCCTTCCATTCTGGGTTTTGGTGGGTTTTTTTGTTTTGGGTTGTTTTTTTTTTCCCCTACTATTCCCACTTTTAATCATTTTTTCTGACTCCTCTCTGCTTTTGTGTTCAAAAGCCACTAGATGGCAATGCAGCTGCTGGCTTTCAAGCAGCTCTGACAGCCATCAGGGAGAAAGCCCATGGTTCAGGAGCATGGATGGGTGCCAGGGACTGACAAACTGGGACCAGCACAAGCCGCAGACTGGGCAATGTGAGTCAGGAGAGGCAATTCAGAGGAGGCAAAAAGCACTGCTTTGTCTCACACGAAGTATTGTAGTGGATGACATGGTGACCTGAAGCATCATTTCTCCAAGATGTGACATCTCACATCTCCTGACACAAGTGACATGCAGTTTAGAGGTACTTGTTTAGAGGCAAGAGACTGTCCATCTTCAGAACAGGAATATTTGAGTGTTTGAGCTCAAATATTGACTCCTGGCTCCTGCTGACTTTCTATGTGCAAATGTACATTCTAATTTAGGAAGAAAAACCCCAGCTCGGTACGTACCTTTGCGAGATTGCCAATTGCTGCTGTACAAGAATAATGGAGTCAAATAAAAACAAATCTGTTGTACTTTTCAGGCAGTTTATCCACATTTTCTTGAAAGCAAATTCTAAGCAGTGTCGGGAAGGTGGGATACACAATGAGGAAAATAAAGGTATATGATTTCTATTCACCTCTCGGTAGATCCTTGCTCCTGGTGGGCTTAAAGGAAAGCTGACTTGCCCGCAACAGCAGGTGTGGCACGTGTCCTCATGCCCATGAGATGTTGGAAGATGTTGAAGATGCTGGAGGCTGGCGGGCGGCAGCCTGTCCCTCTGCTTATGAGGTAGGAGGCTGTGAGCTCACAGAGGCCGGGCCAGCATCCCCAGCCAGCTAAGAGGGCCACCCGTGACCTCATAGAGGGGTATGGCAACTCCAGCCGAAACAAGGTGGTTTTGAGGCAAAAAC